AAAAGCAAAAATAAAGAAATGAAAAGAAAAAAGCGAAATAACAATATAACAGTATCAATTTGCACAGCAATAGCAACGAAAAAAAAAAAATTATAAGTTTTATGCTTTTTATGTCAACTAATAATTGGGATTGTTGGATTAAAGTGGAACATAGTTAAATATACGGTAGGATAGATACAATAATACACTTAGATTAAGACGGTAAAAGGTTTGAAGAAGGGATGGCAGAAGAGGATAAAAGCAGAAATGGAAGCAGGAAGAATGGAACAAATACAGGACCTGGGAGCGGGCAAAGCGAGGGTCCGACCTGTTCTTCCAATGTTTATGTTTTTCGAAAGATTTTGATTGCCATTCCGGGGTCATCGACCTCTTCTGAGCAATCAGCGCTTTATCGTTCAACAGTGTCTCAATTGTCACCTCTTTCTCGACGTTCTCATTGGCCCATTCGTATCTTTCTTTTGGTGCTGTACTTTGTGATCGATTCCAAGCTTGTTCAGTCTTTGCATATGGCGTACTACTTGCACCAGTAGTGATATGTGTACCAGTGGTACCACTCGACGTATGATTGGTAACTGCTTGTGATGTATAACCAGCAAGATTTGTTGACGGTGGTGGTAATATTCCATGAGAAGATGGCGGAGTAGAGTATATATCACGTGTTCTAGATGTATTGCTTATCTTTTGAGCAGAATTATCTATCTTGGCTGATAGACTAAATGTTGTTGGTTTAGGTATTTCTTCCTGACGATTAACGGTACGATGTTGACGTGTAAAACCAGCAGTTGGCCCAAATGAGGTACCAAAACGATGATCAGGTTGCTCATTTTTAGCAAGATGTTGATTGGATCGTGTATCTCCAACTAGAATATCAGCCGAAACATGATCAACATTAGGTGCCATTTCGATATTCATCTCATCACGTTTCAGCGAAGTATGATCAAATTTTGAATGTAAACGACGTTGTTCCGGTCCATGACCATGATATGGACCATCTTTACTTACTGCACCTTTACGGAAATCCATACCGCCCATTTCATATCCAGGACTTGTCTTATGTTCATCATGATATTTTCGGGTATTGCCATAATAGATGTAAGACGATGAATCCTGTGGTATGCGTGATTTGTCAACGTAATCTAATCCACCAAATTCATATCCTCGTTTCGCCGATCTGCAGTACATTTGCTACCAACAAATGCATTAAACTTTTCTTTCTTATTTCATATTCAATTTTTTTCCTAACCAGTTTTTATTATTTTTATAATTAAACTTTTGAAATTTTCCAAATCCACAAAGTAATTAATACCATATAAACTAAACTTATTAATTAAAACCATAAAATTAACAATATACCTTTCTTCATTTCGCTTTTTTGGATGCTGTAAAGTGGAATATTGAGGTGCGTAATAGGAATGCGCAGCGGAAGGTGTTGCTGAACGAGCTCGTTCACTTCGACTACGTGCTGTATGCGCCCAATATGGTTCCTTGAAAAAAAAAATTTTTTTAATTGTTTTTTAAAAAAATTTAAAGTGTATATTAAACGATAAATTTGGAATATTTAAATGTAATCATTCGAAAACAAAAAAAAAAAAAAAAAAGAAGAAAAAGAAAAA